AGAAGGTGATTGAGGCCCTCAGACAAGGCAGACAGCAGCAGAGCTGCTCAACCTGTTAAGCTACTTAAGCTTTGAAGAGTAAGAAATCCATCCTCTGGAAACATGTATGCTAAATACATTTTTGGTCATCATTTTACTTTCTCACTCCCCTTGGTTTTCTAACAAAGGTCCCTTTGCAAATGCCAAGCAGGGGCTGCTGAAAGAAGGGAAAACAGTCAGGAGGTGCGGTGTGGCAAGCACTGCCCACTACTGGATTGAAAGCTCCCTTAAGGGAGATGACAGGAGGCTCAGGAGTGAAAGACCCCCACGCATGGCGACTTCCATGGGACAGTGTCAGGGTGATTGGCCTAGCCCACCCTCTCCACCCAAAAATTCTTCTTCCAAAGCAAGCTATTTCCCATTCAAGCTTAAAGGCGACTGTCTTTTGTTTTACCAGGTGGGCCTGACGGGCCACTTGCATTCTCCATGTGGTGGGAGGCTGAACTTCGGCCCTCCCCTCCACTCCAGCTCAGCCCTGCAAGTTTTGACAGGGGTCTGTTCTTCAATCCCCTCAGTGCCCAAAGGTCGCAGGAGCCATTCCTCACACAGGTCATGCTCCAGCGAGAACAAATGCCACAAGTGACGCTCAGTGACCACCTGACTTTGAACATGGCAGAGGGCAGAGCGCTCACTGGCTTAGATGTCAGAAGGCCTGGCTTCTAGATCAATGCATCTTGCATCTGACCTGCTGTGTGACTCCTCCAGCCCCACATTTCTCAACAGGCACATTAAGTCCACAGTGAGACCACCGACAACAGCGGTGAGAGACAGAGAGGAACGAAAGCATCCAATGAGCCATTTAAGTCTCAGTGTACATGTGGAGCTTTGCGTAATCGCTAAAAGCAACATTTCATGGGAAGGCTTTTGGAATTGCTTCCATAGGGAAAATGGGGAGGCACAGGCACCTCTTTGGCACTGGGCACAGACTCAAGGTGTTGACCCAGCTGGGTGCCTTTAGACAAGTCCCTTCCCCTTTCTGGGCCTCGGCAGTCAGGCCTCATGAGGCCCATAATGGTTCCTGACTGAATTTTTGGTGACCCTGGCCAAGCCAGAGAAGCACAGGACCAGAGAAGGCAAATTCACCACCTTCCTTCCTGACACCCAGTCTACTTTGTAAAGGCCAAAGATGATCCTGAGAGTCATAACGTGAGCCTTCCCCATGACTCTATTATTCCATCACCCTGAGAATTTTTATGACTCTGCTTGCTCATGTGTCTAAACCAGGAGAAGAATAAATCTCTTGCTTGCAAAGTGGAGGAAGTCCTAGTGGACATGTTAGTGTCCAACTTTCCAAGGAAGATGTTTTCAACACATGGAAATACCATCAAGCCGTCCAGGAATTTCATGGTATTTAAGCGAAAATGGGTTTGCCTCCCCTCCCTACTCTGTGCAACTACTGTCCCAAGGGTCTGTAGGGGTGACAGGTAGGACAGAAACAAAGTGAGCCCTGGCAGAGTGTTCCACGTCTCCAAAGGTCCTCCTCACATAGGTCATGTCCCCTTGCCAAGGCGATGGCTGCCAGATCCAGGGTCTGCGACCTCAACTAATGGTGGACTGGTTGTAGTCTAGCGGGGTAAGGCTCATTTTTTTCCTGCCTCACATACAAGCTCCCCTCACACCAGAGGTAAGATGTAAACAAAAATCAGTTGCCACAGAGTTGGAAAATGAAGGGGCAGGAATTTTACATCAAGACACAAAGTTTCCACTATTCAACCCCAACTGGCTGCGTTCAAGCTGAATAACCACAAGAAGTAACAGAGCATCTTTCCCACAGCAAGTTCACCGGCTTGTGTAACGTGATAGCTCCCCAGCGCTGGTCCATACCTAGAGATGCCTAATGCTTCAGTGACTTCTTGCTCATCCAGGAGGTGGGAGCCCTCCCCTCCTTTGTCAATGGCCTGACTGCTTTTGTAATTATCATTCAAGCGCCTACACACCATACACAGATGTCTGAGAGAGGAATGATGAAGCCAGGGTTGACTAGGCAGGTGTGCAGCTGTTTCCCACTGGCCTTGACCACGCCATTCTTGAGAGGAGGGCACAGGGCACACAGGGCACAAATACAATAAAACGGATCCCACTGGCAGCCAGATGCCAGGACGACTTCCAGTTATAGAAGGTGGGGCTGTGCCAAGGGTGCGGCTATAACCGCAGCCAGAGGAGCCGGCTACAGTGCTGCACCCGACCCTCTCCTCTCCTCTCCCACCATCCCCCCCCCCACTGCCCTTAGCAGTGGCAAGAGCTCCTAGAACAGTCTCAAAGGGGTTCAAGTTACCAAAGAACAACCTTCAGTGGAGGAGAGGGGGTTGCCAGGCAACCAGGCCAGCCCAGTCCCACACTTGTAACCTTGAAGTTGGGGGTAGGTGGGTTGTGAACCCCACTGTGTCCAGGAGCACCTTGGGCTCCTTTTATGCTAGCTTTCTGCTCTTCTATCTCTCTCCTCGTCCTCCCCCTGTCCTCCTACAAGGCCTGCCCCCCCCCCAGGGATCTGGGCCCAGTCTGCAAGCTGGTCTCTGCAAGCCTGAAGGTTATGGGCCAGTCTGACCTGCCATTGCTCAGTCTGTAGGTGGCGGCCAAGCTGTCCCTGCTGGGAGACTAGAATCTGCTGCCCTGTCAGGGGTCACTCACTCTGCCCATGTTGCTTCCAACCTTCCTGTCTCCTTCCCTGCGCCTGGGGTCAAACAAAAAAGCAGAATGGCCAGTAAGGGAAAAGGAGTACGGGCAGGAAGAGGCCCAGGGGAAGGGAAAAAAGGACAAGAACTGACAGCCATGGGAAAAGGGTATGTATTCATGTGGAGTGCAAGTAGAATAGACGGTCTGCTGAAGCTTCAGTGTTGTTAAGCTTATGCCCAAGTGACAAGGGCGGTGCTAGACAGGGCAGTGCCCCCATGCCCCATCTCTCTATGAGGTTAGCACTCGTGCTCAGATCTTTGCCGAGAAGATCTCATTTCAGTGCTATACAACCAAAGCTCCTGAGGAGAAAAGCGTGCTGGGCAAGCTCAGAGGGAGCCTGAGGCCAGGCCATAAGGCTAGCCTAACCCAGGCCATTGGACTGGAAAGGGAAAAACCAAGCCTTCTTGCCCAGTGAAGGGAGCTGTGTTCCATTTAGGCAGCAGCCCCCTTGTGCCTCTGAGCTGAGAGACCTGTGGTGCTCAAAGGCAAGAGACCACAGGGAAGATGGGAGCTGGCCACTCTCTCAGGTCTCTTGTAAGTTTCAAAGGAGCCACAGGAGTGCACTTTGTCCTCAGAACTGTTGCCCAGCCTTGAAAGAGATTCATCTCAGGAAACCATCTCTGTAACTCAGGGGATCCTCGGGAAGGGGCAGGTGCCCAGGCAACCTCGTGAAGTCACACTTTCCCTCAAGTGGCAGGAGCTCTCTCTTGCAGGGGACAGAAGGGTACAAGTTGCAAAACAGCCTCCTCCCTGTCCTTAATTTACCCTGCTGAACTCAGTAGGTGGCCCTCTGCAAGCTGTGTGGGGATTCTGAAAACTGCTCCCCAAGCTGACTTATCAAATTTCCCCTAGGCTAATCCTGGTAGTCAGTGGGGTGGGGGAGGGGGCACAACAATGACCTTCTCACCCTCTTTGTTAACTGAGAACTGAGCAGACAGGGCCCCAGCTCTCCAGGTCCCAAGCCAGCAGGGCTTTGCAGTCCCCCATCCACATTCCCTCTGGCAGTCATCTGTGTCTCCCACCCTTCTTCCCTCAGGGTGGTGTTTCTCCACCAGTGACCTCCACCTTCTGCCTCAGAGGTCAGAGACCTTATTGAAGAGGGGTATAGGAGCTGACTCTCCTCTCTTACTGTCAGGGGTGGGGGCAAGTGGCCTCCACGGCAGGAAGGGGCTGACCAGGGAACTCCCCAGGGAGCTGCAAGCTTGTACTCAGAAGTCACCCAGTAGTCCGCCCCTGCCTCCACCTAAACGTTTTTGGCCACACTGCTCCTCCTCACCCCTAACCTTACAGAGGAGCCAATGGGCACAGATCCCTGGCATGCCCCAGGTATGGCCAGCATTTCCAGCACATCCAGTCCCCTTGCTTTCAGTAACAGTCCCACACTCTAAGGGCCACTGCATTTGCACCATTCCTCATGCAGAGCCGGCCGTGCAAAGGAGTATAGGACAAGGACTCCTACGCTCTCACGGCTTCTGCCAGGGCTAGGTCAGGGCCGCTGGGTTTCTCAAGCATGGCTGGCCCCTAAAGAAATCCCGAAACTGAAGACAGTTGCTTTAAATGGCTATCTAGGGCACATAGGTGCTGCCGGCCCCTAAGGCCCCTAGGAGTGGGGTCCAGCAAAGCCAGGGTCAGGCTCCCCTTCACCCCAACCGGTCTGCAGCCACTCGGGGCACGGAGGCCCCTAAGGCCAGGGAGAAGAGGAGGGAGGGTGCTCAGGCAGTCTTCAGAGTAGGAGCCTCGGTCAGGCTCCAGCGCGAAATCGCCGAGATTGAAGCCAGTGGGCACCACCGCCAGGCTCTCCCCTCCCTCCCCCCTCCATATACCCCCCCCTCGGCCTTTCCTAGGTGGCCGAGATTCTAGTCTGGGGCAAAGATGCCAGGGCTGCAGCCACTAGGTTCGCGACGCCGCCGCAGGGATGTCGACGCCTCGGGCCAGGGGTGTGTGCTGAAGCCGAAGCCGACCCCGGCCCTGCGGCTCCCCAGTGCCCATGAGGGCCCCCTCCTTCCGTCCCCCGGACCCCAGGAGGCGGCCGGCCAGCCCAGGGCCAGGAGTCCGGAGCGCACAAGGCCATTTGGGACAGCCCGGCTGGGTCGGGTCCGGCAGCAGGAAGTTCCAGCGGGAAAGCGGCGGGTGGGGAGTCGGGGAAACGGGATCCCCACACTCCGCCAGGGGAAGGGGGAGAAGGGAAGGGGAGGGCCGGGGAAGGGGCTGGGCACAGAGCCCGGAGCCGCTGGCGCCCCCAGAGGTGGGGTAGACGCGGGGCGGCCGGCCGCCCGGGCGCGGTTTACCTAGCTCGTCCTCGTCGTCCTCCCGGCAGAGCAGGCGGCAGGGGAGGCGGCGGCGGAGGCGCGCGGTGCGCCGGGACAGGCTGTGGGTGCGGCGCCCCAGGGCCAGCAGGTGCCCCTCGAGGTCCTCGAGCAGAGCCAGCGAGTGGCCGCACAGGTCGGCGAGCTGCCGGAGCAGGCTGAGCGCGGCCAGGTGGCTCACGTCGCGGAGCTCGGCCAGCGGCTGCGGTGGGCGGCTGGGGCACAGGCGCCGGGGCAGCACCGTGCGTCTGTAAAACGGCATCCCGGGCGCGGGCGCGGGGCACTAGCCCCGCGGCGCCGGCGGCGGGTACAGAAAGGCGCCCCTGGGCGGCGGCCCGGCTCTGGTCTCGCGGCCCCTTTGGCGCCGGAGACGGCGGCGGGGCGGCCGGGCCCACGGATTCCCAGCCTGGGGCGCCGGTTCCCCCCGGGGCTGCACACTCGCGGGAGCCACCGGTCGCTCTGACTCCTGTTCGCTGGGCTCCTCCTCCTCCCCGCCTTTCTCCACCTCCTCTTCCCTGGCTCTGCTACTTCGGGATCCCCCTAGCCACCTTTTCCCCCCTTCTTTTGCACTCAGAGATTCGCAGATTAACGCTTGATCCTGGAGCGGAGGGAAAGGGAAGTAGGAGTAAAAAGAGCGAGCTGGAGCGTGAAAGGACGAATGTCTGCGTGAGTGGAGTGTGTGTGTGTGAGCGTGCCTCTGTATGTGTGTGTGGAGGGGGGTTCCCTATTGCATGTGTCCCGCTGTCCTCCTGCGGAATTCGAGCCCCAGTACTGAAGGTTACACTTGCTTCCTGCTTTGTTTTGTAACTTCAACTTTTTCTTCATAAAAGAATGAAAATTCAAGCGCACAGGCGCCCACACTAGAGAGTTAGCAGCGGAGACTGGCCAGTCTGGCTTCATGCATGTAGCTTTCCACCCCAGAAGTGTCCTGGGTCCAGGCGCTGGCAAGAGCACGCTATGAGTACAGCCTTCCAACGCCCAGGAGCTTGGAAATGAGAGGAGGGCACCAAAGAGCTTACTGCAGTGCTCAGAAGTATGGTGTCTCCAGGGGTGCCACAGTGCCTGGGCTGAGCGAATGAATGAAAACCACCTTCTCTGGGACAAGACATTCATTTCGGGAAAGAAAGGCTCTGCTGCACCATAGTTTAGGCCTAAGGAGCCCAGGGCCGCCTTCTCCTCCTGGCCGGGTCCAACTGCTGAGATGGACTCCCATCTCTGTGGGCATTGGGCTCCTGGGGTGCCCACTAAGGCGGGGGTATGGGAGCCAGGTGATGCATGCTTTCCGTGAGGGCAACCCTGTGCTCATGTACTGGTTCTTCTCCATTCTAGAAGGTAGAAAAGAGGGGTTCACCGGCATCCTCAGTAAGGCAGAGTCCCTGTGTGCTCAGGGAGTTTCCACTCAGACCATTTCAGTGGTCACCCCCCCACCCCGTTCTGCCATTTCACCTCTAGCAGCTTTAGTTACCCCTGTGGTCAATGGTGGTCTGAAAATATTACCTCTAGTAAGATCTCTTGGGAGGGGGAAACAGCACATTCACATAATGCTTATTACAGAATATGCTTACAATGGCTCCATTTTATTGTTAGTTATGGCTGTTAGTCTCATACTGTGCCTAATTTATAAAGAAAATGTGGCCATAAGTATGCATGTATAGGAAAAAAGCATAGTACAGCGAGATTTCCGGCACGACCCCTGGTCTCAGGTGTCCATGGGTGTCTTGGAATGCTATCCTTGCAGAGAAGGGGACTACCATGCTTTCAAAACAAGGTGCTGCCAGGAGCTGCTCCTCCTAACTGCTCTTTTGACTTTGGTATGGTTCCACGTCTTCCTTCTGGCAACCCTCTCTTCATCTTCCACTCAAACGTGTTCCGTCCAAATAGTCCCTCATAGGCTACTGGTAAAACACCTTGAACAGCACACCTGCAGCTGCACTGACAGGCCTGAGGCAGCCTGTCTGCATTCATTCCTCTAGAGAATGGTCCTGTGAGCAGCTCAAGAAGCCTCTGTGACCACTTCAGAGTCATCCAATCACCCTGTTCAACAGTCACTCCCTGTTCAGTAATTGGAACTTGGGTACTAGAAGAGATGGGGTCAAATGAAGACAGAAGAACAAACAGATGGGACAAAAGACAGCCCCTTCTCTGTACTTGTAGCATCCAGTCACTGGATGAGGAGCTGACATTCTCTACTTGGCAAACTGAGACCTGAGCCAAGAGAGTGAGTGGCAGGAAGTAGGGACTTGGCTGGACTCTCCTGAGATACTTTTCCTTGACCTATGAGTTGTTTAGCGTGATCTCTGCTGGGGAGGAAAAGAAACAAGTTACCAGCAGATGGAAGGAGACTGTGTGGCAGAGTCCCGCAGCCTGCCCCGCAGCCTGCAGGTGGCAGGCTGGGGCTGGGTCTGGTGATTGAGCCGCCCTCACCACTCTGATCTCTGAAGCCGATGAATCTCTCAGGCTCTATAAGAACAAGCTCCACTCCAAGCAAATCAGCGTGTCCTCCCCCAAGGTGAGCCGCTCACCCCAGCCTCTTCAAGGACTGGCCCTGGCTTTCATCAAGAAAACATCAAGGACTGGCGGCAGGGCCCTCCTCCCTGCTCGGGACCGGCGCGGGACTGCATGTACCAAGGAAGATGTCCAGGGATTATAAATTTTCGTCTTCTTTCTTATCTCCAGTCTCCTCCCGACAGGAAAGGTGAACCCCCAAGTGAGAGGCAGGCTGGAGGTAGAGCCTTGAGGGGGTGTGGGGTAAAGGGGCCTGGCTCTTCACTGAGGAGGGAGAGAGTTGGGATTCCTGCAGTGCTTTGCCCCAGCCACGCCCACCAGGGCAGGAAAGCAGCTACCCTCAGGGGTCCAGTCCAGGCCTCCACATGCACACAAATGTCCTTCTTCAGTAGGAACAGTGTTTCCTTTGTGACCGTATTGTCCCTCCCACTAGACTGCTAGCGCCAGGAGGGCAGGAACCTTGTCTGCCTGCTCACTGCTGTTTGCCCAGTGCCACGCCCATGACTGGCATCCTGCAGGTGCTCAGAAAGTGGGTACTGGTGATGAATCAATGCACCTGGATTTTCGCACAACCCCATGGGAGGAGCCTTACTGAAGGATTCCCATTGGCCTTGGTGGCAATACGCAGTCACCGTGGCCTCCGGGGCGGGACACTGCCGGGTGTAGGGAAGAGGTGCCTGAGAATGAGAACATTTCTTCTGGAGGCTGGGAAAAGGCAGGGGGGGAGGGCGAGGCTGCTCTGGTTACCTGCAACCAAGTGCCTGGGCAGAGGTGCCAGAGGGCACTCCGTGATCAAACAGTTGCTTTGATTTCCCTTAAACCTTGGCCTGATGCATTCCAGATGAGAGAGATGGAAAGCTCAGAGGGGATAAAGGAGAGGCCCCCAGCAGCTAAGCCCACCCAAAAGTGCTGGGTGCTTCCTACCCTCCCACCGGCCTCCTGGCGAAACCCGTGGCAATTTATTCTGAACCTGTGCTGGGAGCTGACATCTGAGCTCCAGGCAGCCCACCTGTAGGATCCCCTGTGGGTCGGACCTGGAAGCAGTGACTAAGAGAGAGTGGCCGGAGAGACAGGAGGGACATGGGGGACGGTGACCACACAGGAGCCGCAGGCCCCTGCTTTCCTTACCACCTCTTGGCCTGCCTACTTAGGTGCTTAAGAACCTAGAATTTCAAGTTAAAAAATGAGCTTGAAGGAATAGATAAGGAACACAGGCTGTGCCATTTCTGTTCCTACAAGTAAACCATTTCCACAGCTGCAGAATGGGGGCTGAGCAAGCACAAGCACCCGCCCGGGGGCTCAGGGCAGCCCTCAGTCTTACTTCCCCAAGAGAAAGCAGAAAGCTGCCCCAGGCCGTCACCTCTCAAATATCTCACAGAACAGCAGGAGCAGCGTCTTGGTGGTTGAGAGGCCAGTTTTCTCCTTGACATTCCCCTGTACTCGGCTGTTTATCCCACCTCAGCCCCTCTAGCCATGAAACAGAGGAAATTCTTTCCCTCCTGAATGAAAAAAGATGCATAGCCATCGAGGAATAGAAAGGCTCCTGCCAACTCCAACACTGCCTTCTGCTGTCACCTGCTTCTAAGCATCTGTCCCAAGAGTGATGAGTATGAGTCAGCAAGGGTGAGATTGACTTTTTTTTTTTAATGCCATTTGCCCTTTGGGGTTGATGCTTGACCCTGTAACTCAGAACTCAAGTCAACCCTCTCTCCTGAGAGGGGCCCAGAGAGGTAGCTGAGAGAGAGCTAAGTGTCTGGCTTTGGGCTTTTCAGCCAGGGGAGTGCCCAGGATTCAATCAGCAGTGCAGACCAACCCTTGCTAATCAATGCCATACTCTGGAGAGTGGGCATGGGCAGCAAAGTAGTGCCCAGGATGTGAGCGCATAGAACAAGCTTCTGCCCTGGAAGCAGCAGAGTCTCAGACAGGGGAGGGCTGCCCCCAGCGGTAGGCCCCCAGGGCCCGACTGGGACCTCACACAGCCATCAGTCACCTCCCAGGGCAGTAGAGGGTAAGCCCAGGATGGCTCAAGGTCCTAAAATAAATTCCTTTCAGCACAGACTCAATGCTTCACACACTCACAGGGCAAACCCTTCAAGAATTCCATGAGGAAACAAACCTTTATTTCAAAAATAAACTTTGATGTTATTTGAACTTTAGCCCTGACTCTGAGAACAGACTGAAACCACAAGAAACATGTGTGGCAATTGCAAGAAATAGAAAGTGGGCAGGTCCTGTCCTAGGTGGCTCCCCCACCTCACCATCATGCTTCCCCTCACTCACCACCTGCATTGTTAGGAGGACACGGCAACTCCAATTAGGGGCATCCACATGTTGTTGCATTAGATGGGTAATTTTGTGTGAACATGCTTGCTTTACTCAGGAGAATTCATATTGTGCACATCACCCGTCTGTCCTACTCCACTTAAGAATCATCATCCCATCCCACTGCTGCAAACCCCGATCTCCCCCCAGCATCCTAAAGCAGCACGTACAAATCCTTAATCTCCCCCGGAGAATTAGGTCCTTCACGCGGCAGTGTCTTCTACGTGTTTGATCAAGGC